AGCGTTGCTGATGTCTGGTGGTTAAGGTCTGACAGAGCAGCTCAGAGTCACACACAAAGAGCACAGCGGCTTCAAAATCACACGCGAAGACACAAAGTCGGGTTACGCCTTCCCGAAATCAGGGAGAAGCAAATCGTAACCAAAATCAAGCAAATTCTAGTGTGTAGTGTGTGGCGGCCTTCAGCTATGTCGCTTGCTTATCAAATAGATACATTTAAAGCCGTATTGTGGAACATTAAGGACAACGCAATAATTAACCCATGAATAAAAGCAGTGAAGTTACACAGTGAATCTTTATTTAGAGCCAGCAGTTCCTTCTAAACCATTTGAGCGCTTGTAACTTGAGATGTCTCTTTTAAGTTGAGCGCACTCACTTCAGACCAGAGCACTACTTTGTCTTTAATTAACCCCACCCATCTCTCCGTCCACAAACGCTCTGTCCTCTCTCTGCTCCACCGAGGAGACACGCGGACACCGGCTCCCGCATTTCAAATATAATGAGCTCGGACTTGTGACGAGGCTTCACTTATGCCCACTGCGCGCGCTCAGAGGGTCTATCAAAGGAATTCAATTTAGTATTTTCAAAAGGAAGGCCCCAGATGGCAGCTCTACATACGTACATTTGCAGGCGACATTTATTGGAAAAAAGAGGGGAGAAGGACAAGCAAATGAGATGATTAAAAGTACTGCGTTTTTAATTGAGCAAATGACCTTAGAAATTAGGTTGAGAGAACAAGGATTTCTGGGTAATCTGTAGGAAGACGAGCAGATGGAGAGAGAATCTAGCAAAGTGCGGAGCTAAATTGACCATGAATACAGACAGACAGACAGACCGTTGAGTTCAGGAAGAAATCGAGCTGAGTAGGGAGAAATAACTAATATCTTTATCACAATATTTTGATAATATAATGACCACTGTTGGGCAAGTGACTTTAAAACTGTAATGCGTTATTTATTACCTGTTACTGTCATTTCAAAGTAATTCGTTGCATTACAATATTACTGTGTTTAAAATGTAAGAAATGACATGACTATTGCAGCACTTTTAAGTTACTCTCGCCAAAATAACTGTGAAGATGCTGAAATTTTGCACCGTATATGGACTGAACCAAGACTAAACCAGGTCTAAACCAGGATTAAACCAGGACTGAACCAGGACTGAACCAGGTCTAAACCAGGACTGAACCAGGTCTAAACCAGGACTGAACCATGTCTAAACCAGAACTGAACCAGAACTGAACCAGAACTGAACCAGGACTAAACCAGGTCTAAACCAGGTCTAAACCAGGACTGAACCAGGTCTAAACCAGGTCAAAACCAGGTCTAAACCAGGACTGAACCATTTCTAAACCAGGTCTAATCCAGGTCTAAACCAGGACTGAGCCAGGTCTAAACCAGGACTGAACCAGGTCTAAATCAGAACTGAACCAGAACTGAACCAAGTATAAACCAGGACTAAACCAAGACTGAACCAAGTCTAAACCAGGACTGAACCAGGTCTAAACCAGGTCTAAACCAGGACTGAACCAGGTCTAAACCAGGACTGAACCAGGTCTAAACCAGGACTGAACCAGGTCTAAACCAGGACTGAGCCAGGTCTAAAACAGGTCTAAACCAGGACTGAACCAGAACTGAACCAAGTCTAAACCAGGTCTAAACCAGGTCTAAATCAGAACTGAACCAGAACTAAACCAGGTCTAAACCAGGACTGAGCCAGGTCTAAACCAGGACTGAACCAGGTCTAAATCAGAACTGAACCAGAACTGAACCAAGTATAAACCAGGACTAAACCAAGACTGAACCAAGTCTAAACCAGGACTGAACCAGGTCTAAACCAGGTCTAAACCAGGACTGAACCAGGTCTAAACCAGGACTGAACCAGGTCTAAACCAGGACTGAACCAGGTCTAAACCAGGACTGAGCCAGGTCTAAAACAGGTCTAAATCAGAACTGAACCAGAAGTGAACCAGAACTAAACCAGGACTGAACCAGAACTAAACCAGGTCTAAACCAGGTCTAAATCAGAACTGAACCAGAACTAAACCAGGACTGAACCAGAACTGAACCAAGTCTAAACCAGGTCTAAACCAGGTCTAAACCAGGACTAAACCAGGACTGAACCAAGTCTAAACCAGGACTGAACCAGGTCTAAACCAGGACTGAACCAGGTCTAAACCAGGACTGAGCCAGGTCTAAACCAGGTCTAAATCAGAACTGAACCAGGTCTAAACCAGGACTGAACCAGGTCTAAACCAGGACTGAACCAGGTCTAAACCAGGTCTAAATCAGAACTGAACCAGAAGTGAACCAGAACTAAACCAGGACTGAACCAGAACTGAACCAAGTCTAAACCAGGTCTAAACCAGGTCTAAATCAGAACTGAACCAGAAGTGAACCAGAACTAAACCAGGACTGAACCAGAACTGAACCAAGTCTAAACCAGGTCTAAACCAAGTCTAAACCAGGACTAAACCAGGACTGAACCAAGTCTAAACCAGGACTGAAGCAGGTCTAAACAGTGCGGAGTTCTGCGCCGGTCCTTTCGCCTGCGGTCACCTGACGGTCTACGCGGGTGAGTCTCTGGCGTTTCACTGCTGCTGATATCGTGGTGATTTTAATGAATTTGTATGAAGATAAACTCACCACTTCAATCCAAGTTAAAAAAGCATTGTAACGCGCTTTACTGACATTTGTACAGAGTAAAATAATACAATGTTTTTCCCTGTAACGCCGAACATTACTGCGTTACAGCACAAAGCAATGCACTACAGTAATTAGTTACTTTTATAACTCGTTACTCCCTGATAACACTGATAATGACAGTAGGTTATGTTAGTGTGACTGGATGTCTTTATTTTTCCAGGACAGTCCCAGTTTTGAGCCCTGTGTCCCCTGTCCCAGCAGATTTATCCAAAACCAGTGATTTGTCCCAGTTTTATACAATAAATGTCCCTGGTGTCCCTATTTTTGACCAATCTGATCGTTGCCAACAGTAAAGAGAGTCATAAATGATCATTTGTTCAGGTAAAATCCAGAAAAGCTGCTTAAAATTGACCAAGACGCAAAGAAAATGTGACTATTTTAACTCACATGTTCGTCATGAATGGACTCTGAGTAATAATTTCCCTTAATTACCCCTTCATTTCACAAGTTTTATTATTACCAACCACCAAAAAACTGTGGGTGTCCCAGTTTTTTATGTTGAAAATCCTGGTCACCCCAGGTTATGTTCACGTTACATCACAACAGTCTATAATCCCTATAGTTTAACAAAGTGCTGGAGGAACAGTCGGAATAAATAAATGATTATGGTGCTAGCATACTCTGTACTAGTGCTAATGCTAATTTTGGCGCCTCATAAATAATGAAATAACGTCACAGCCTGAAAAAATCTCCACCTAAAAATAAACGGGGAAACTACACATTATTTTGCTATGGTGTTTTCATGTTTTATTATATAATCTTTGGATCTCGTGTATATTATAATGTTGTTTCCTCATCAAAAACAAAAAACAAACAAACCCAGAGTTGTGTTTTGTTTCATTCACACATGTATAACACACAAACTCTGCATATTTAAGCTGAGCTGTTCTCTATTCCACCTTGTGATGTCATGTGGTAATACATGAAGTGCTCCACTGTGTTTTTAAACTCCACACACCTTCACTAGAATCATATGGATAATTTCAGATGTGGAATTGACAATCTCTACTGCAGTGTTTCCCGAAAAATTTTACTGGTGACCTATATTTTTAGAGTCACAAACCTTTGCCTTTGTCTGGGACTGCTGGATTGTTGGCGTGTTCGCAGTGACTCGTTTGTTCAGTTGTGGCTCAGAGTGGCACATTGCACTCGCTTTTTCGGTTCGTTCCTTCGTTCCATTCATTGTCTGCGTGATGAGTGTGGCTGCAGGTGTTTTTCACTGTCTGCTCTGTGTGTGTTTGTGTGTTCTGCGGGTGGTGCGGCTTTGTAGTTTACTGAAGTCGTGCTGGGACACCCGAGTGGATTCGTGTATAGGGCGCTCTGGATTGTGGGGTGTGCGGTCGTTTTTTGATGGGGTTAGAGGCTTAAGAGCGCGTTATAGCCCAGAAAATATAGTATGTCACGACTAAATAGCAGCGATTGGTTAAATAAAAAAGTACCTGCCTACCGTCGAGCGAACGAATCCTAATGCTGCGAGGTCAGACGGTTTCCACGATGTGAAACCGGCTGATGAATCGGGCTGGTATATTGCAGACCTACATGCAGATCTTGACAAGGCAACCCAAGATAAAAGGTAGCTGTTAAATTGAAAACTACTACTTCATGACATCATCATCATCAATTTTGAGCATTTTGAGCTTTGGAGACAAACTAATGACGTAGGGTTACTCAAAAATTTACCAAAATAAAACTCCAGGTCTGTTTTTGAGGAGGTAAGAGCATTATAACATGACGTAAAGCTCACAATAGTCAATTTTATGTAATGTAGGACCTTTAATGTGCTCCAGTCACGTGCCTGATCACTGCCCACTTCTTGATCTGTAAGTATTTACTGATTTTAGCATGTACTTCAGCACATAATTGTACTTCCTGTTAGGCGTAGCAGACGTTACCAACCTCCATTGTCCGTATTAACTTGGACCAGATTCAATTTAATTACATTTTGGAGTCGTGATAACCCATTTGCACTTTTATTTTGACTTCTTAAGAATGAGCTTCTTGTTTTTTTAGCACGACTCAGCAAAAACCTCGTAGACATTAGTTCAGAGCGTGTCTCACTCGCCGTCTCTCCGATTGGAACAAGCCAGCTACCATTAGACTTAGACAAACGTTATTGCTCCACAAGGGAAATTACTTGGACGCAGTAGCTCACACATCACGTTATATTACAATAATGAAGAGTATACCTTTTGTTTACCACCTCGCAGTTGCGTAGGAGATTACATAACGTGTGATTGCGTCCTCTTATACCCTGTACCCTGACGTGCCCCGCGTAATCATGTACATTTCATACTCACAGTGGTACTCCGGGAGCCGCCCTGCCAGCACGGCTCTCCGTTCTCGTACAACTGCTGACTGTACAGGATTCTGGGCATTTCCGGACCACATCCCCCAAACTCTGCGAACAAAAGCAAACACAAAATCTATTAACCAAAACAAAAACTCATCAGCTCTTAAACACTGTGAGACAGGCGGTATTGTGGGCTGGCTTCACAAGTGAAAATCTGGCAGAAAGGGCCGTCTGGCAGCGCCCCTGTTTGCTTTCTGGCTCCGGCGTCTCTGTCTCCTTTAACAATGGAAGGAAATATTAATTACAGTTTAGTTGAATCAGTGATTAAAATGAAAATAAGACACAGGGGAAGTGGAGGAGATGGAGCCAGTCGCAAAAGTGGCGGCCCAGAGCAAGCTAATTACATTCTCACCAAGAGGAATCGGGGAGGGGCAGCACTGAGGAGGCCAAATCTGGTGCAGGGATACAGTTTCAAATGTGCTTCTTTAAAGGGGCTGTGCTTTCATTTGTATTCTTGTACAAAACAAAACAAAAAAAAGCTCTTTAAGTAATATACTGTATGGTTAAAGTTGCTACAAAAGAACAAAATTAAGACGGTAAAATTACAATTATGATACGACATGCCTCCATTTAGACGTTCCAGTTTTCTGAACCTTTTTAGTATTGCTATTCCGACACGTCTTTTTTTTTTTTTTTTTGAGTTGTGATAGTCTGCCCAAGTGCATCTCTCGCTGTTCTTCAATGTTCTTACGGTGTTCTCCGTTGGTCACCTACATGACAAAATGAATGCAGCCTCCGTTTAAGATTAGATATGTTCCCGAAGGATGGCCTATGCTCTTTTTTTTCCCCACGACGATCAGTTAGAACATTTTCCCGCTGTCTGACATCTCTTGTGGCCGAAGTATTCTCTAATGAAGAGCTTTGCACCGGCCCAAGCATCTTATGGGAGCGTAAAGTAGAATTATTCACATCGGAAAAAAAGAATGTTTGAAATATAGTAAAATACTGCTACTCCGACAATGAAAAAAAAAAAAAATTGGCGTAGTGTGATGCTTGAAAAACAATGTTTCTACCGCTACTTTGATAATTACACGTCAATGTCTAAATAGCGGCATGTTGGAATAACAGTATGTAACCGATCAACTTTTTTGTTCAATCGGGGACATTCTTACTAAGAGTCAGGGGAAACCAACTGCCTAATGCGACGTTTATATGATGTCGGTCTGAACAGAAGACGCAAAAGTGGTCTTCACTTTTTATTCCGCGTTTAGACAAGCGTTTTCAGGAGGAAATCTGCGTGCATACGGTGACACAAAAGTGTGTGGAATTCGACTGGGTATGGGTGACACTAGGTGGTGATGCTATGTGACGTAAACATGTACACGATGTGAGCAGATCTGACCAGAGTTTTGCATCTTGGGCAGTGTAGATGGAAACACTACGGCGGAGCGTGTTCAACTTTTCCACTCTGGAGGGTGGTTTCAGATTTTTGCGTTTTTAAGCCCCCAAAACGCTGTCACCGTCTAAAAGAAAGGCACTTCCGATAAAATATTTTGTCATTTTTACCCACAAGCGTTCTTGTGTAAACAGACCCTCACACCGTTACAAACAGTTGATTCTCTGTGCATTTTTAACCCTCTCAGGCTCAAATTAAGTTATATTAACAGGAAAAATCTGATATTTGGGGAAAATGATCATATGGGGTAGTAATATACAATCAGATATATACAAGCAGATTTGCAGCATTGGCCTGGTGTGGTAAATTAACACTGAAGACTGAAAATGATATGAACGCTAACTTTATGTGTATAGCACTTTTCATAACAATGAGCAGAGTGTAACAGTATTTTACAGTGGCAGAACAACATCACTTTTTTGTGTAGTACTCCAAGAAACAATTTTTATCCTTTGTAAAGCACAAAAGTACTTTGCACTTCTGGCAGGCCGTTTGCGTGTAGCCATTCTTGCACAGTCTGCATCGTCCACGTTTATCAGCATGGATGGGAGAAAAGGCTCCTGAGTAAAAAAGGCTCATAAAATATGGATGTGGAGTAAATAGGTAATTGGCATTTAGCTGTTGCAAATCTGCAACGCCTGCCTGGAGAGGGTTAAGAGTGTCAAAAATGCTGAAAATGGGTGTAGATTACAGCTGGGAATCACTGGGTCCCTCGCGACGCAATATGATGTTATCACAATATCACGATATATGCGATAATCAATATAATGCACCTGGTACTCTGAGATATGAAGCTGTTTTTAAGAACCAAACACATTTCAGCAACAGTATCAACTGTTAAACGACATTCTCTCTGAAATAAAAACACCTAAAAACTGAAAAATTGAAGCAAGAACATCTTTACAGAGACAAGAAGGTGACCGACCCGCCAACAAAAAAGTCCAGCATTAAGGTTTAGCTGAAAAACACTCTAACCTTACTAACCTCCATTGTCCGTATTAGCTTGGACCAGAGGCAGTTTAATTACATTTTGAAGTCCACATAAACCATTTGTCCTTTTATTTTGACTTCTTAAATAAAAGCTTACTGAAAGACATGACATTCATAAACTAAGGACAAATAACTAGTGGGAGTAAGAGAAGGACATTTCTGCACACTTAAAGGCAATGTACTTGATTTTTACGATCTTAAAAAGGCAGCAGACACAATTATTCCTCACTTAACTCATACATCCAGAGCATCCTAATTGTTCAGCGCGATGAGTGCTCTTCACGACTTTCAGAGACCGTGACAGCAAAGACAACATCAACTAGCATGTTAACGCACATTCCTGATTATTGGACAATAAAATGCTTTCTAATTAGACTTATTTTGATATCATGAGCTGCTTATACATTATATTTGTACTGGGGTAGTACAAATAAAATGGATATAAAGACATTTTTTCCTCAAGCACATTGGAAAAAATCATGTACAAGACAAGGCCCATGTTACGCTATTTTCTGATCTATGTTATAATGTTGTTTCCTCATCAAAAACAGATTGTGTTTTGTTTTATTCACACATATTTAACAGTGCACATGTAGGCTGTGTTCTTCTCTCAAACAGAAAACACTCTGTTCCACCTTGTGATGTCATGCGGTAATACAGGAAGTGCTTCACTATGTTTTTAAAGTCCATACACTATGCCCTGGAATTGCCAATTGCTGCTGAATTAAACGTAAAATGTACCTTTTAACATGAAAAACCACCACTTCATGACATCACAAGGTGGAACAGAGCATTCTGAGCTGATGAGAATACGCAGAGTTTAGAGTTTAAATGTGAGTCATTGTGTTAGATTATGAAGAGTAGGGGTGGGATTAAATACATTTTCTTCTTCCCACTCCATTTTGGGCAAAATAATAATAATAATAATATTTTTTGGTTGTTATTTTCATTTCTATTATGATTTCACTATGTTATATGTTCCACTGTATATGAATGTAAATGTTTACTTGCCCAAAATAAATGCATAAAATGAGTTTAGACTTTAAACGCAAGAATACGCTGAGTTTAGAGTTTAAACGTGAGAATACACAGAGTTTAGACTTTAAACGTGAGAATACAGAGTTTAGAGTTTAAACGTGAGAATACGCAGAGTTTAGGGTTTAAACGTGAGAATACAGAGTTTAGACTTTAAACGTGAGAATATACAGAATTTAGAGTTTAAACGTGAGACTACGCAGAGTTTAGAGTTTAAATGCGAGAATATGCAGAGTTTAGAGTTTAAACGCGAGACTACACAGAGTTTAGAGTTTAAATGTGAGAATACGCAGAGTTTAGAGTTTAAACGTGAGACTACACAGAGTTTAGAGTTTAAATGTGAGAATATGCAGAGTTTAGAGTTTAAACGTGAGACTACGCAGAGTTTAGAGTTTAAACGTGAGAATACACAGAGTTTAGTGTTTCACAAAGTATTACAAACATGTGTGAGTCCAAAACTCAGCGGCTTGACTTTTAACTGGAACCCGGAAACACAAGAGCACCTATTTTATCCTCTCCATTGTCTCCCAGTGTCTTTTAGAGTTGATTTTAAACTTTTATTTACTCTATGTGTTTACACGGCCTAACGCCCTCCTACCTCACTGATTAGATCCACTCTTATGCCGCCTCTCGCACTCTCGGGTCAACAAATCAGCTCGTCGTCCCAAAGACTAAACGCAGCTTTGTGGGGACTGTGTGTTTTCTGTTGCGGCCCCTCGACTCTAGAACCAGTTGCCATTAGACGATTTCACTGGCTTTTAACGAGTGAGATGTATATTTCTTGATGTTGAGCATCTTATTGTTTTCTATGTTTTTTAGCAGTTGTATTGTGTTTGTATTGTGTGTTTTGTTGTACTGCGATTGTCTATTTTGCGTTTGTTTCCAGCATACTTACGTTGGTATGGTATGGAATGAAACAAAACACAACTGCAGGTATGTTTTGTTTTTGATGAGACAACTTTCTGACTTGACTTAAAGCTCACAAGAGTCAATCTGTGTAATATTAAGTGAACAAAAGACAAACTAAAATCATCTGATTGAGAAAAGAAAACTATTATCTCTCCAAAAGAGTGAAAAGACGAGATTTGAAACATTTTTACCGACCAAAAAATACGTCTCTAAACCAGCTCATACCTCTTCTTCTTCCCAATGTGAGTCTATAATTGTCTATTTCTGTTCGACAAAAACCTGAGTGTTATGTCCTGAACACTTTGTCAATGTTCAGTTAATCAGTGTGGATAAAGCACCACAAGAGCTAATAAATTGTGCTATTCGTTCTTGTAATCTGTCTGAGTGCTCTCTTCACAGTGCCAACAGCGGATCAACAGTCTCCCTCTATGACCTTTTCCCATTGGATTAAAGCGCCACTTTTGTTCCAGCCGCTGCTTTTAGTCATAGACGAGCTAATCTGCAATTCAAGCTCTATTTTGATGTGTTCATTTGTGCTGCTAATTGACCCTAATAGAATGATGGATTACCTTAATACGCCGTTATCCTGACATCTGAATATTTTCATTTAGCTAAGACACAAGCTAATCTATCCGCTAATAGACGTGTAATTAGCTGATTAATTATTGACAGTAAGAGAGGATATAAGGGCAAATCTCCATGAAAACAAACAATAATA